GGTAAATATAGCGAATAGGGGACCCAGCCCCAATGACATTGACCTTGACATATGTTGTCAAGGACATAATTCTGAGTAACTTTTTTTTCTAATTTAATCGTCGCTCGTTGTTTACTACAAAGTTATGAACAATTAAAGATAGTGACTGACTGATGCTTGGGACATAAAACTGCACACATTTTCGCATGAATTATCAACTTTTACATCTAAAAACGAAAAGAAAATGATAGAGAGCCACCGTAGTTGTAAAGCGAGGTCCACCCTGCCTACCGGCGGGGTAGGTGCGGGAGGGGGGCCGAAGGCCCCCCTTATATCCCCTCGCGTGTGTGTGTGTGTGTGCGTGCGCGCACGCTTGCATGCATGTACTTTGCTATATTTCAAATTTTTTTGTTAATAACTTTTTAATAAGCAACGAGCGACGATAAAATTAGAAGAAAAAGTTATTCAGTATTATGTCCTTGACAACATATATCAAGGTCATTGAAATCGGTGAGGTCGCCCTTAATATTAAATTTTACCTTAAAATTTGTGAAAGTTAGAGCGTGTACAAACATGTCCCAAAAAATTCAAAATTTTATAAAAAATGAACTCTTTCACCGATTCTCATCAAATTCAATTCCAATCATCCTTTTAATGATACTCTAATCATGTAAAAATATTTAGCCCGATATCTCAAAATTTGTAGAAGTTAGAGCAACTATGCCCTTTTGATGCATATACACACATACATACACACATACAGACATTTTTAAAAAATGTGATTTTTCGACATTTTAGAACATTCTGAACACATTAGCATCAAAATCCTAGAAAAAAATTTTTTCGTGAAAACAAAGCTTCCTCTATAAGCAAAAATTTCATTTTTTACGAAAATTGTATTTACCACGCGATAATAGTCATCCTTGTAAACATCTCTAGCTAGACCAAAATCGCCGATTTTAATGACACGGTTCTCACGATCTCTTGCGGATACTAAGCAATTTCGACACGCGAGATCTCTATGAACGAAACGCAGATTTTCCAGGTAGCAACAGCCTCGCGCAATATCTTCGCACATGGCGAACAAATCTTGTAGACGTAGAGCGTGCGAATCTGACGGTTGCAAGTTTCTACTATCCCTCAAATATTGTAGCAGATCACCAGTTTCCATTAATTCCAACACAATTAATGGAGAATTTTCGTCTAAGCAGACGGCCAGCAATCTTAGCACATGTTTGTGTCGGAAGCGATTCATAAGCCTGGCCTCATCTAAAAACTTCTTCTTCTCTTGTGAGGAAACATTTTCTCCAAGCATTTTTATGGCAGCGGATGTCTCTATACCCGGTCTTTCTAAATTTTTCACTTTCCCTTGAAACACCTGCGAAATATTTAAAATAAATTTAGATTTATATTTCATTAAAAAATATATAGTTTAATGTCAAGTGACATTATATATTTCATTTTGTATTAAATAACTTAACGAAGAATACATAGTAGAGTAAACGTGTACGTTATTTCACAACAATTTTGCGATACTTACAATCTCTTATAAAAGTTATTTAAAAAAATGAGTATCTGTTTCAATTTCTGTTGATCTAAAAAAGTAATAGCGTATAACATTGCAGGGAAAAAATTAATTTTTATCATTCCGAATGCGCCGCTGCCTATACGTTTTTCTAATTTGATTTCTTCACGTTTGATTTCGATCACGATTTTCGGAATTACATTCCAACATAGGACTGTATAATGTATTGAGTTGAACGTTACCGTTAGGTATCTCATGTAAAGTCTCTAAGTCAGTCGTTATCGGAGGCAAAACTTGCTCGTTACTTTTCTTGCATTGTCGGTACACTGTTATAAAATTACAATATGCTTATCTAATAATATGCATTGCAAAATTTTTCAATAAGTAAATTAACTTTTCTTAGAGGATCTCTATATACTATAATACATTAAATATAATCTCTCTTTTTCTGAGATTAAATAATTAAATGCGTATCAAGCATACTTACAGTAATAAAAGTAGCAAATACAGATTGCAGTAACTATAGCGACAAGGCTTATGGATAGGTAATATTCCATAACTGTTATTCCAGGAGTGCTCGAAATATCACCTTTGTTACGCAAAAATGTACTCTTAATATCTTCATTTTATTTAAAAATTTTCTTCTACTTATAATTTAATTATTAAAAATTACTAAATTTTTAAATTTTGTAAGCATTTTTATATTTGAAACAAACATAATGTTATAATATCTTTCTTTGCTTACTTGTCAGTGTTGAAAAAGTAAATCTTCCATCAGATGGCCATATAAAGTTTTTCTCATACCTGGGATATTTCAGTATCAAACGAAACTCGTATCGAGTTCCTGGTAGTAAGTTTTTTATATAGTACAATAATTTCCCCCTTTTATTCTGCTCAAAGTCGTCAACAGTTTGCCACTCCTTCAGCTCAACATTTTTATATTCCAATTGGTTATCATTGAAACTAAGGCTAGGAATCCACGAGATACTCATACCGTTTATGCTAACCCCGCTTAAAGTTATATTGTTTGGTTTCGAATACATGTCCAATATGTTGCTCAAACTGTCACTATAATAATTGCTAAAGTTGACTGGATACATGTATGCGTACATATACACTGTATCTTTTTCCGGGTATCAACGGTTCGATTATCGTGAATAATTTGCCGTCTATCTTATGTTCGGTATCATTGATAAGTAGCTCGTTTTTTTGTGTCATATTGTTGAGAATAGTCCAATATACTTTGTAGATTATGGGCACGCAGTTTAGTTTCTCAGGTGGCATCCAATAAACTGCCGCTATCATAGGCGTCAGAGCATAAACTGTCACATTTTCCGGTCCGCTGAGCTTGCTTGGTTCAGTTCTCAGCATCACTTCTGAACTCCATAACGGGTCCATCGATAACTGACCAGAATAAAAATTGCTTATTATTAACAATAACTTGTACTCTGTAAACGGCGTTAAATTCTGAATCTCATAATATCGCTCGTACGTCTGCACCATGAAATTATCGAACTTGTTAAGCTCATTGTTTAAACAATAGCTTATGATGTTGATGGTATATTTGGTGCTAGGTAAGTTGTACTTTTTGCATCCGCTCTTAGGGACCGGCTCCGGAAGATTTATGATGATGCTGTTCGTCGTTACCGTGTACGTCGATTCTCCTACGTTGTAAACTTTGTTGTCAGGTATCAGACATCTTGTTGGAGGATACGATTGCAAAGATTTATCGAAAGCATAAAATTTAACCCTATAAAGCATTTTTATCTTTTGGATGTATTTGAATGCGTCTACACTCTCGAGAAGTGCATTTTTTTTCAAAACATATATATCAAAATTGTAACATGAAATGTAAATGTTTGTTTTGTCTATTGCTAAAGATTGAAAGTATATATTATAGCCAATTTCTTTGCTTTGTAAAATTAAATTGCACATAGAAACGTTAATGTCTGTTACAAAGAAGAGTTTCATGAATAGCCAATAAATTTGCGGCTTCTTAGTATTTATATCGTCAATTTTCATATCAACAAAATATATTATATTGGGTGAGAAGGGGCATATAATAGATAAATTCTGAATGATTTGAGCGTTATTTCCATCAAGATCCGATTGTATTATCTGAAGTTCATTATTCTTAGTGTAATTTGCCCAATATAAAATTCTAAAAAATATATGCATTATTTTACTTATTATAGAACATTATTATAACAATAGCAGAAAAAAATTATATATATAGTGAATATTTAAAATTCTTATAATTAAATTTGTGTTAATTTATTATTTCTTTATAACGGTAAAGGTCTAGAAAAAGGGCAACCTCACCAATGACCTTGACCTATGTTGTTAAGGACATGATCCTGAGTAACTTTTCCTTATAACTTAATCGGCGGTCATTGTTTATTAAAAAGTTATTAACAAATAAAGTTTGAGAAATAAAACGTACTTTTTACATGGGTTTGTAATTTCCACGCAAGAAGCGAGGTCCATTCGCATCAGGACCCTGATTTGGATGTAAAACCACATTTTCAGAAATAGGTTTGGGTTAGGTTATATCTTCCGGAAATTGGCCCCCCCGAAGGGAGGGGGGCGGAACTCACTGCGTTCACGCATACACTTTCCCATCCACACAACAATTCTGGGCTGAACCTCGCTTCGCGTTGTAAAGTATATGCATGGACACAGTGGGTTCCGCCCCTTTAGGGGGGGGGGGATCCATTTCCGGAGGATATAATCTAACCCAAACCTATTTCCGATTTAAAACTAAAATTTGGTTCGAGTTATGTTACATAACCCAAACCAAATTTTCGTTTCGAATCTAACTTTAACTTTAAATATTTCAAAAATTATAAGAGACCGCCGATTAAGTTATAAGGAAAAGTTACTCAGGATCATGTCCTTGACAACATATGTCAAGGTCAAGGTCGTTGGTGAGGTTGCCCTTTTTCTAAACCTTTACCGAAAATATTTTGCATTTATTTCAAATGATGAGAGTTAACATACCCTATAGACGGTAATGTAGTTAAATATTCACCGCTACGAAAGAATTTTATTTTCGAAATTTTATTATATTTTACTATGCCATTTTCCCACTTTGTTAAGTCGAGCTTTATGATGTGAGTATAAGGATCAAAGTCGTTTAAATTTATCCAGTACAGATTTCTTGCTACCCAGTCGATGCAGAGATAGAACGCATTATTTGGAAAAGTAGTTATTTTTGTAATATTGTTTTTATTTATCTCCAATATCATTAGCTCTCTCTTTCTGTTGCTCCAATAAATTTTATGCTCCGCTATCGAATAAGTGGCATCTATTACATCATATTGCTCAACTAATATAATTTTGGTTTTTGAATCCAGATCGCATAAATAAATTCCATTTATTGATACAATCAATACTTGCGGTACTGGATTTTCGTGCATAGTCGATACATCAATTAAATCTGTGTAAGGACCAGCACTAAGTTTAGTATGCGCTCGCACTTGAAAGTAATACGTTGTGTTAGGTTTTAGATTGTGCTCCGTGAACTCCAATATTGTAACTGAGATACTTTTGTTGTCGCAGATTTGAATCTCTTTTTGGTTCTCGACGAACCAACACTGCACTGTGTATCCTTGTATTACTTCATCTGTAAATTCAGGTTGATTCCATCTGTAAAAAAAATTAGATTTTAGCTTTTTTATATTTAGTAAAATTATAACAGAATCAACATTTTTATATATATGTGTCGTTAAATTTAAAAGAATACAGCTGAGAAATTAGAGTTTTTACCTGAATGTTACAGAAATGTCTTTTTCATTTAGAAACCCATCGAATTCGACAAATGCTCTGGGAGATGTCGGTTTCCTCAAAACGCTTTCTAAAAATTTTACAATCATACGTATTGGCACAATCATATACAAAAACATTAAGTTGACTATCACAAAAAAATAAAAAAAGAGAAGTTTTAAAGTAAAAATAAAAGTGAGAAAAAATAGGGGTAAATTATAAAATATAGAAATTAGCACAGCAAATGTTAAGATTTAAGATAATAAAATCATATATAAAAGTTTGCGTGTTTTAAGACTTAAGTAGTAAGTAAAAAAGTAATCGTTAATCCAGAGCAAAAACAAACATTAAAGCATTAAGCGTTTTTCGTTATTTTCTTATTGATTAAGAAATCAGAAGTACAATATTTGCAATTGTCTTAAAAAAAATAAACTATCAAAATTAAATAATATAATTGACTGCTTTATATTAAATCTTAATTAATTTTACATATAATATGTGGATTTTTTTTCCATTTTTTGCGGCAAAATAAAATTTATATTCTTCTCGGTGTTGAAAGATATTTTTTTTATATGTTATTTTTTTTTACTTTCTTTTAAATGTAAATTATATTTACAATTTCATTTGTCATTGACTTTTTCTGCTAATAATTTATGCATTTCTTTGCGACTTACCAATAGATTCTGGGATCATAGACATATTTGTAAATGGAATCTCATCAATTTTGTTTCTCACACTCACACTATCAGAATAACTCCAGTCAGATTCGAGGTTTTGTAAAAAGTGATAATCGTTGTTCTCGGATACTGGAATATCCTTTATAAAGTATAACATACGAAAAGAATTAAATAAGCACCGCTGGGCTAAAAACACGGCTACTTCCGGTACTTTTAATCATAAATAATATGAATATTAAGTAAATAGTAATATATGTAATAAGTAAATCTGCCATGAAATTTTTTGTTTGTTTAATCATATAAACGAGATATTTTTTTTTATATCTCTCCTGATTGATATCGTGTCTAAAAAATACAGTATAGTTACATTAAAAAAAAATTCTGTTTTTATTGTTTTTTATATGCAAGATCTTCTTGCATATCAAACATGATTCTTATATCAAACAGAAAAAGCTATCGTATACAAATTGACATAGCTGCGTCAAATAGATGTCAATAAGACCGTTTGGACCAATGTGCATGTAATGTAAATCAGTATGTGGTGGCTTAATGCTCGATGCTCGTTGATCCAAACGGTCTGTTATATATATGCAACTATATCAATTTATGTGTCTTATGTATATGTTGATAGCCTGAAGTGACGCAGAATAGATAAATAAGGGTTAATAAGAATTTATAACTTATAACCGTTTTTCTTAACAAATAATATATGAAAGTGTAGCTCTTTTTGATTGTTGAAACAATTTTGTTTAACGATTTAGTTTTTTAACGATGAGTTAGTTAATTTTTCCAAGGAACTTTAGCACAACTTTTCTTTTCAAAAAATTATTTGATACCATTAAAGTTTTTCAATAATGTTTGTACTTTAAAAATATAAATATTATAAATATTGTCTTTTTATAGTCATATAGAATTTATATAAATTCTTACAATATTTCTTTTCGGTTATCGCTACATTTTTTAACGCAAACAAATTCTGAAAAATATGATGTTATAATTAACCTATGTACATTACCTAGGTAAGATCGTATGCATATAGCTATGTAACGAATATATGTACAGTTAAATTTATATCTTAATTCAAAGACATAGCAAAAAATTGACTGGTTGCATAGATTTTTGATTTCTGTAACTATTTATTGTTAGAATTAATTTATACAACTCAAAATTCTGCATTATACTGATACTCGACATTGTTTCGATATTTAGTAGCTCTGTTCTGTTATATACGTATATATCGATCCTCAACATAAAAAAGGATGCTGACTTTCTAAATTAATTTTGTTAAATAAAAACTAATTTAGTACGGATCTTATTATACTAATAAATGGTTATGAATATTTAAACAAGTAGAGTTGTGCAAATTAGAAACTTGCACATTGCTTCCTCATCATTTTATCTTACAAAGCTTAAGCTGCTTTAAGCATGCGGATTTTTCAATTTTTGCTTCCTCATAGAAGAAGCTGTGTGAGCAGAATCAAAATTAAAATGAATTCTTTCACCGATTCTCACTAAATTCAATATCAAACATCCTTTAATAATACTCCATTCATGTAAACAAATTTAATCCAATATCTCAAATTTTCTGAAAGTTACAGCGTGTACAGACATTTCTCAAAAAATTCAAAATTTTATAAAAAATGAACCCTTTCACCGATACTCACCACATTCAGTACCAACCATCCTTTAATAATACTCTATTAATGTAAAAAAATTTAGTCCGATATCTCAAATTTTTCGAAAGTTACAGCATGTACAGACATTCCTCAAAATTTTTAGGAATATGATTTTTCGACGTTTTGGAATATTCTAAACACATTGGCATAGAAAACTCGAAAAAAGTTTTGTCACGAAAACAAAGCTATCTCTATGAAAAAGCAAAAAATAAAGAAGTCTTAGGAATTGAAGAAAAATCACATAAAAATCAGTTTAGATGTTACTGTATGTATGTATTAATATAAGAACACGGAGAAGAAACAAAAAATTATATTGATGTTCCAAAAATACTTATTTTTAAAAATAGCAAAGAGAGAGATACAAAGAGAAAGAGATAATACAGTCAAGTTTTAATACATCTTAATAAAGTTCAATTTTATACTACATAACATCCATTTATAAACAAAATTTCCAAGATTTATACATTCTTTTTTTTCCATAACATCACACATATTCTTCTAATGTTTTGTGTTATATTGTTTTATTTTATTATTATAAAGTCCATATATCTTATTATCATAAACAGTTTTAATTATTCAAATAAACTATTAGCTATAATAACATTTAATTATATTCAACAAAGCAATCTCTTACCCGTGTGAAGTCTGAATCCGAATAGTTTGACAAGACATCCGCTCTCGCTAACATTAACACTTTCAGTAAAACACATAATATTGTTTTTGACATAATAATTTTGTGTCTTTTTTTTTTGTTAATACTTGCGCTCAGTCAGCTTTTAATCCTTGGCGACTTAACTATGAATAGTGATTTTATCGATATTCTGGATAATGCAAATGTACTAATTGTATCGATGTTTTCTTACGTATATCGCTTTTGGAAATCTGTTTAATACATCAATCATAAAATCTCTTCCAGAGCTATTTTTCAAAATTTCTCTTTATAACCAATCACGATGTATCTTACATATCACTAAATTATAAAACTTTTGGTTAATAAATGCTCTATATATATATATATATATATATACTATGTGCGCTCTCGAGAGCCCACTATTCGTGCATGTCGTTCTTAACGGACTGTTGCATGAATGTTTGCATCATGTGGTTCTAATCAAGCAACACGTAACGCGCTTGCGTATTTGTGATTGGTGTCTATTATAAATCATCAGCCTAAATAATCGATTTAAATGAAGCACTTTTGCCGAACCATTATTCTTTATTTGCTGCATTCTTATGAGTTATTTTCTTTTCTGAAGATACTTGTCGCTGCTTTAAAAAGAACTACGCTTTCTAAGATTTGTTTATATTTATATTATTTATATTATCAATGAGTAATTAATGTTTATAAATAATATGTAACTATATATATCGTCACTAAATTATAAAACTTTTGGTTAATAAATGCTCAATTTTTTCTATGAAAACCAATGACGACGTTGAACTAACACGTATGCATTCGTTGTATCAAATTATAATATAAATATTATCAATCTCCCTCTGTAGTTTCTCTTAATATAATCTAGTAAAAAAGCAATCAAATGAAAAGAAACGTGCAATATGTAATTATTGTTCGAAATAATTAAATAAGACAACCAGAAAATTACTGAATTATAAATCTTTAACTTTTTCACTATTTATACGCCAAGTTTTACTAGATCATATATATTTTTTATATCTCTTATTTGATTAAATACTGCAACTATGTTTAACAATTGTTTTATATATATAGTAATTAATGTTTATAAATAATATGTAACTATATATATCGCGACAATAAACTTCGAAAAACATATTTCGCTGCAAGGGCATTTGCCGGCTAAGGTAAGGTTAAGTGTTCTAATGCTAATGAACCTAAGAGCTATGCAGGTAACATAGTTACTGGTAAGATCACCCATGCCGAAGAGGTCGAGGGGAGAGAATCAAACTAAAAGAGATAGTTATATTTATTATATCAAAATTTTTGAATAAGATGGAAACAAAAGAAACAATAATCGAGAGAATAGAAAAAAGGGGGCTTCAGTGGTTTGAACATCTTTTAAGAATGCTTGAGGAAATAGCCGCAGAAGATCTTCCGACCACAAGAAAAAGGAAGTGCAACAGGCTCCTACGATCTTGAGATCACGGAATTTAATAAGTTATAAAAATACAAAGACTCGAAGAAGAGGTTGAACAGTATCCCTACCGAGCAATTATAAACATGAAAAAATTAGTTCAATTTCGAAAAAATACGGTTAAAACTTTAGAAAAATGAAGTATTTATAATATAATAGACGTCCGCATTTCGGAAATCGCAATTTTTCATGTCGTATAAAGATATACCTAAGTTTTGTAAGAATTAGATTTGTTCATAATTCCTTTTTATTTAGAGGTCTGGTAGCACGTTCTAGAAATCGATTTCAATTATGTCGTATAAAGATATATCTAAATCCCAAGAGAGGTTAGAAACTATTTTGTATTTTTAGACTTTTGATTACAGTTTTAAATAGCACACTACACGTGATATAAAGAAAACTTAGATTTTAAATGCTAAAGTATTACATAATATATTGCGATTTTTTGTATGATGTTTTCAAAAAGTCTGATAGTATACCTTCTACTGAAGGATCATATAAAAGGATCGTATAAACGTGAAAGAATCAGTTAACGCTGCTAATGATTAGAAGTCCTTAGAAATTGAAAGTATACGGTTAGAATTATTAGAAAATTTATTATATTATAATATACATAGTACTCTATTCCAAAAATCAAGCAACATTTAAAAGAGATACATTAACCAAGCGACCTTCTTTTTTTCTAATGTAATCGTCGCTCATTGCTTGTTAAAAAGTTATTAACAAAAAAGGTTTGAAATATACCGAAGTACATGCACGGACAGGAAGCACGCGTGCGCGCGCACGCACACACACGCACACACGAAGGGGTGCAAGGGGGGCCTTCGGCCTTCCTCCCGAACCCATCCCGCCGGTAGGCAGGGTGGACTTCGCTTTACAACTTACAAAGTACATGCTGTAAAGCGAGGTTCACCCTACCTTTCAGCGGGGTGGATGCGGGAGGGGGGCCGAAGGACCCCCGAAAAAGTTACTCAGAATTATGTCCTTGACAACATATATCAAGGTCAAGGTCATTGAGGCTGGGTCCTCGTTTCGCTATATTTACCATATATATATATTCAAAATATTAAATTATATTATACGAATATATATTTCAAATTAATTTTAAATATTTTTAAAATAAATTTTTTCGCATTTCCGGCTTTTTATTTAGAGTTCTGGGTAGCATCCCATGAGATATAAAAGATATTGCAAGAGATATCGCCGTTTTTCGTATGATATTTTGCGAGAACCTGACAATATCAAGAGTACCTATCATCGGGTAATCATATGAACGTGAAAAAATTAATTGACGCTGTTAATGATTAAAACTCCTTTGAATTAAAAAAAAACAAGGTTAAAATTATAGAAAAATATAATAATTATAATAGAATAAATCTCCGTGTTTTGGAAATTACAATTTTTCTTATGTGTCGTACAAAGATATATCCAAAATATCGGGAGGGGTAGATTTTTACGCATTTCTGGTTTTTTATTTAGAGTTCTATTTTATATAATAGAGTTCTATTTTGTATTTTATATAACATACACATTTTGTAATATTCTAATAATATGCATCTTTTATTGAGATATCCACTCTTAAAAAAGCCTGTTAAATCGATACTCGCAAATATTGTTACCTCTCTCCGCGATGCTGATTAGTTATCTCGACACTGCGCTGTAGATAATTTTATGCAATATCCGTCTTTTTGTCATAGGAAATAATTCCATAATATTTCCCACGTGATTGTCCCACGTTTTTATATCGCCGCGATATGAAAAGTCGATCGAGTCTGACGACAAGAATCGCGTAGATCCTATCCAAGCCGTAAGCAGCATTTTGCAAGCAAAATGATAAAAAATACTATAATCAATGTTGAAATTGCATGGTACTATCAGTTCTGTAAGCTTGCCAAGACTTTGAACACTAATATCAGAATATTGATAGTTCTTTCTTTTTCGCGATATTCTCTCAGATGGCTGACTGCCAGATTTAAAAGTACACATTTATGAGACTTTCCGAAAGGATTATGAGCAAAATAAATATTCAAGAAATAAATAATATGCAAAACTATAATTTGAAAATAATAAAATAATATTTAATGTATATAATAATACGTTGAATACACATTCGTGATAGTTATTGGCTCTCGGCTTCTCTGTAGCTTCTGTGATCACCAGCGGTATCCAATCTAAAAATTCCTGACGTAGACGGCAAGACATTTAAAACTCATTCGGCATTTAACATATTAAGCTTTTAATATTTTTATCAAGTATTATAATTTATTGCAATTTTTTACCAAAAACAAATTGCATACATACATTTATAATAATGAAATGAAATATATTAATTGATCAGTATTTCTGTAGTATATTTATATATTCGTTTTAATTAATATAATTTATTTTAATAATAGCAAAGTCCTTAGATTTAAATTTAAATCTAATGTCTTATAGCTTAGATCAGAACCTAAGCGTCATGAGTGAAAGTACGCTATGTAGTACTTACCATCAAAGCGAGGTATTGATCCACGCAAATACAAGATTTCTGCCTGCTTGTCAATAGGTGACACTTGCTGTACGAGATGTTGTATGATACATAAAATTTTAAATAATTCTAATAAATAAAAAGAAAATGTCAGAAATATTTTATATGATGGCTATATAAAAAATAAGATTTATTGACTTAATAAAAATAATAATTTATAATGAACATAAATAGTAAATTATATATTTTATTACACAACTATTTATAGATATTTTTAAAATTAATTACAGATTTTTATGAAAGAAACAATTTATATATTAGAATTTTATAAATTATGTAATATAATACGCTTATATACACACATACTTGCTCACATTTTTTTATATATACATCGAGAAGAAGATTGAAGCTTATTATGAGAAGACCACTAGTTGTGAAGACCACACGGTTAGGTCGACGACATGAAATCACGTTAGCAGGTGAAACAACGAAGCCCATCTCGAGTTAGGCAGATAGTTCAAGGGTCGGTGGTTTTAAGTCCTTGACAGGATTACGCTAATTTTAGAAAATTTCCACGAGTTTCTAGTGCACTTAGTTAGTCACGTCGTTGCTAAACCCTTGTTGTGGTCCATAACTGCATCATTATTGTATTTCAGACAAATTTGTGCTAAATTGTTTTTGAATAAAACCTGCTGTAAATTAAATTAAAGTAGTTATCAAATATAATTACAATACTTTTTTGCAATTGCAAAATACATGGAATTTTATAAAAGCTTCAATCTTTAGAAACCTTATTTCGATTTATGTGAAATCTAATATGGAAGCGAAAGCACGATACATCAATATTCAATCAACGATGCGCCGCTTTTTGGTATCGCTATAACGTGTTAGGTAGTTCATTTTATATTTCACAACATCATTTATCCAGGCACGAACATGGGTATAAGATTCTTATCGTGTTTATTCAGGGCGTATGTATCCTTGCCTTCGCAAGGCTGCGAAAATAGAGATTTAGGTCTTTCTTTTTTCGCGTCGCGCTTCTTTCGATGTCGCTGCCACCGATCTTTACAGAAGATCGAGTATTTGCGGACCATGGGAGTAGGTGAGACGTATGTCTATCCCGTTGAAGGATTTTAAAAGGGACGTTATTCGACGATATCCATGTAATATCCGAATTTCGTTCCTTACATAAAAACTCGCATGTTTAACAACATACTAGTATAAATATCATCGCTAATATACATATGTATATGACGCGTATAACGCTATAATACATTTCCCAAAATATTAAGATTATTATGATTATTATGAAGATTATTATAAATTATTAAGAAATTGTGAACAAATAAGTACATTCTCAGATCGCGTTTTCTATCATGAATTAAATATCACAGTTATCAGATTACGCGGCAAGAAGAAAAA